CTGGCAGCCAGCTCACATCTGCAAAACATCTGGCCCAGCCCAAACACAGTTGTTTGGGAACCCATGGGAGAGGCACAGATCACCTTGGTTTCTTCAGCTTGAGGCTAGATCTCCAGCTGCAAGTCAGCACCCACGTGTAGGACCTAGGACAGAAGCTCTAGACCTGTGCAAAGTTCGGCCGCCCATTTCTGATGCAGGGTTCTGAGCCAAGGAGAGTAAGGATGCTTCTCAAGGAAATGTTCAAAGCCTAAGGCAGTTGGGAAATATTTGGATGCCAAAAGTGATGTGACACTGGTCTCCTCTTTCTCTGGACTGTTCTCTTTCTGGGACATCCTTTCCCATATGTCTTCCTCTATTCTGTCACCCAGGTCTGCACCATCATTTGTACATTCCAAGTTCTCCACGATTTGGCAACTGAATCTGCCCTGGGCAAGAACACATGGGCAGAAATAGCAATGAGATACCATTTGGGACCTATCAAAAGATTAAAAAAGAAAAAAAAAAAAGATTATGCCTAGTGTGTGTAAAAGGTTCTGGGAAAAGAAATTGTCACGTCCTGCTGATTGGAGTGGGGATAAATATGTACCCCCTTTCTGAAGGGCAATTTGTCAGTTGGTGTCTAAGGCTTTAAAAATGTGTGTATCTCTTGCCATAGTGATTCCACTTCTGGGAATTTATCCTACGGGAATTAGCTATGCACAGAAATCATGTGTGAGAATGTTCCTGATGGAGCTATTGCAGAAAAATTATAAACAACCTCACTCTCCAACAGCAAAGGACTATTTAACTCATGTTGAAGACATAGAGTGAAGTACTACAGAGACATTAAAATCATGTCTTATTAGCATACTTAAAGTCCGGGAAAATGTTCATGCTAGATCAAATGAAAAAGCAGACGATAAAGCTGTAAGTCTCATACGATGTCAATCTTGTGAATGCAAAGAAAGAACCTACCTCAATGAATTGTCTGCGATTCCTGGGGAGTAAGATGACGTGCAGTTTTCATTTTATTCTTTGCAATTCTTTCCCAATTTTTTCTTTGGTAATTCTTGTCCCCAAATTTCTTTCCCCCAAATTTCTCCATTGGTTACTTTTTAAATCAGGGGGAAAAAATTCTCCATATGTACAAAAACAAAATAAGAATTTGGTTTTGAGGGGGTTCTGTGGTTGTTCTGTTATGTTTAGTGTTTTGGAGGTTTTTGTTGGTTGGTTGATTGGTTTGATTCTTGGTTCATTTTGTTTTTTTTTTTGTTGTTTGTTTGTTTGTTTTTTCCCCTCTCCTCTTCCTAAAGGATCACTGTTCTCCTTTATTAGTAATTATTGTAAAAACAGCACATTCTTGCTGAGGGCTTCCATTGACCCATCACCAAGTAATTGCTGTGCATTTTCTCATTTAATCCTCATCACTCTGTGGCCAGATAGGTGTTCATCTCCTGTGAAAGTCAGGCTCCTTGGGCTTTCAGAGAAGTTGATTAACTTGACTGTGGATACACAGCTAACTAATGAATCAGGCTTCTAATTTGATCTGATTCCAGAAAACACTCCCTCAAAGACAACCCTACCAAGCTCAGGGAGGAATTTGATATTGTATCTTTTTTATCTCAAGAAACTCTATGCCCCAGGGATACTCAAATCCAAGCACTCCAGAATTCTATCTCTAGAAAAAGTGCCAGGTGAGCTGAGCACGGTGGTACATACCTATCATTCCCAGTGACTAGGGAGGCTGAGGCAGGAGGATCACAAGTTTGAGGCCAAGTCTGGGCAATTTAGTGAGCCTCTGTCTCAAGAGAAAAATTTAAAAGGGCTGGGGATGTGGTCAAGTGGTAGAGTTGCTTGCCTTGTATGTGCAAAGCTCTAGGTTCAATTCCCAGAAAAAGAAAGAAAGAAAACAAGAAAGCCAGCAACAAGCAGGCCAGGTAAGGAGCTGCCAAAGGGTGAGTCTGCCTGCCCATCACTGGAATGCCCATAGAAACCCACTGCTTATTATTTTGGCCTGGAACTTCTGCCAGAGCGTGAAGTTTCTTAAATTTGTAAACTTCACTACCAGAGAATTATTCTATTTGTTTGTTTGTTTGTTTGTTTTTTACTTTCCCCCCCAACTCCACCACTTGAGAGTTTGTATCACCCTGTGTCCATTACCCAGCCTCCAACACTTGGCACATCAGTTGGTTTATAGAAGGCAGCTCTGCATGACTATTGGCTGCATGGCAGAATGTATATTCCCTAAGGGAAGGAATTGTGTGAACCTTCATAAGGCAGCTAGATTGTACCGAGTGTAGAAAGTTTCACAACAGGTGTGCTGGCTAACTAATGTAGGAATCCTTTCGCCTTAGGTCCCACCCCCTCTCAGTTTTTCAGAAGAAAGGATTTATCTTTTGAGTCTATCTGAATTAGGGCATCAGCCCTTCTGCACTCCTTATCCCTGCCTTAATACTTTTTTTAGTTGTAGGTTTTTAGTTATCTGTCTTGAGATGCTGAGGTCAGATTTGCTACTGGAGTCACTGGCGAGTATTTGATTTGGTTTTGTGTTCCAAACCTTTTTTTTCTTTTTTCCTTTTTTTTTTTTTTCCTTCTAAAATAAACTTCCCTACTCTCTCCCAGAGCAAAACAGCTAGTTTTGTTAACTGGGTCACTTGCCAGAGAGCCAAGATCCTGTCTTTTTCCCCCCCTGGTCTTGTCAAGGGCTAAGCCCCATTGAGTTGAGGTCTAAGAATTTGCCAAAGCTTTCTATTAATGCCAGACTCTCTCATACCCTGTCCTCCTGCTGTCAACCAGCTCCTTCACCTCTCAAGACAACCAAAAAGACGTGTCTCTGGGAAGTTTGGTGCAGTTCCTAGACCATTCATCTGGAGCCCTAGACCAAGGGCAAGGTACAAGTTTACAACTGCTACCCCTCTGCTCAAGTTGTGGGTGAGGACACTTCAAAAGAACTCCCCCAATTAGACATACTTGAGCCCATTGAAGGTTCCGTTGGAAGTTGGATCAACTGTGCAACTCCAAAGGCAACCACGTTGGAAGTTTGGATACAGGTGGTTTTCTAAAAGTTTGTCTGAGAGATCAATGAATTGCCATGGTTATTGGGTCTATCAAAAGGAAGAAATTAAAGAAGCATTGCTCAAGAGCCAGAAGAGGGGCAGTGTCTCTTTGCAGAGTTGGTGGCTGGGTGCAATTGAACATATTCATGTTGATTATTCATTTATTTAACAGGCACCTTGATATTACAATACATACATAGAAGTGTAAACGAAAAAGTGTATTTAACAAAGTAGTATAACATATACAGAGAGGTATACAAATAAGCATACACAGCTTGATAAACATTCATAAACTAAATCCCAGGTCAGGAAACATATTTTGATCAATGCCCACTATGCCCACACATTCCGCCCCGCCTCGCCGCTATTTTGCCTATTTGAGACTTTTTCAAAAAGGAATCATGTGGTATCAAGTATTTAGATCTGACTACCTTTGCTCAACACTATATTTGTGAGACTCATTCATGACCTTGAGTATAACTGTAGTGAGCTGACCCTTACTGATGTATTTAGCATTTCACTTTTTGAACACACTGCTATTTATTTATGGGTTCCAATCATACTGGCTATTCAATTTCCAATGTAGGGCTATAATGGTCCTGCTATCCACAGTCTAGTACTTGTCTTTTGGTGAACATAGATGCGCATTTCTGCTGGGTATAAACTTGGGAGTGGAATTGCTGGGCTGTAAATAATGGAAATACTCAAACTTGGTAGCTACTGCCAACTCATTTTTCCAAAGTGTCTCAATTTACATTGCACCAGAAGTGTAACCTAGTTGTTTAGATTTGGGTTCTAGGTTTGTAGCATGGTGCTTAGGAGTAACGGCTCTAAAAACCACCTCTTTTAACCAGTTTTATGAGCTTGTGTTTGTTACTAGCCTCTCAGGGCCTCAATGCGAGAATTGACTGCAGTATTTAACTTAATATTCTTCCTGTGTACAATAGTTACAAATAATCATCTGATAATCGCTACCCTAGCTATATCCCCAAAGAGGAAGGATCTGTGTGTGCTAGGGAGGCAAAAACCAGATTCACCCATTCTTGGAAGAGCTCCCCTGACACATTTTTGTAGTTTTCCATTTGTGTTTACCTAAGTCAAACTTTGAAATTCCCAGGGTGCAGCAACAATCAGAGATCTTTACCCAGGTAAGGAAAAGATGGATTTCAGTTGAAGATGTGTGAGCTCCAGAGTTAGGAGCAATAAAGACCTTTGCCATTTGCATACACACACTGGCAAGTGCTTTCCAAAACTAAGCAAAACGAAGCCGGGTACTCGCTTCAATCGTTCGCAACGTTTGGGGTTCTTCTGCAAAACACCAGGCAATTCTGCTCTGCACTGCCCTGTCAAGTTACAGAAGTTTGGGGGAACCTGAAATCGGTTCATCTCACCCTTGGCCCCTGCTGGTCCCTCCATTTCCCTGCCGGCTTAACGCTAATACCTTTGGGCAGGCTCCACCGCGGAGTTTAACCAGCTGCCAAGTTAAATAACGCAGAGGATCCTAAACCATCTTCCCAGAGAGTCGCAAATCAACGTCTCCCACATACGCAGGGCCCGACACTCACCAAAATGCCTTTTTATGTCATATGTGTATGTATATATAATAGCATTAGAAAAACATAATTGTTCCTTATAAATGATCATTTCCTTTGTGTTCACACCCCAAATCGGGTGCAAGTGGAAAATCCAGGTGCCCTGGTCACCTTCCTTCCTTGTCTGTGCCTGGATAACTGACACGTCCGCTTGTGAATTGCTTCGCTGGGAGTATTGGATCAGATTCCTAATTGAATGGCATTTCTAGATTGTCGATAGTATATATATACACATACTTGCATGCATATACACGATAGGCATACATATGCATATATACGATATGCATATATATGTTTGTGATTATATATGCATCCAGGGCAGAGAGGAGAGCGCACCAAACTTGCAAGGGTAGAGACTGCAGATCTGCTCTTGTGGGAGACTCCCTCTGGCCTAGGAGCACATACACTGCCCAGATTTCCGAAGACACTGCGAATGTCCTCTGATGTGATCGCGTAGGGTGTTGGGAGGATCCTGGAAATCATGATAGGTTTGTATCATCGCCCCTCCCTGCCCCCGCTCCTGCCCCAGGCTGCAAAGCCGGTGGCCCCTGCTCCAGGGTAAAAACCAGTCTGTGGGTGCATTGAGATTTGCAGACTAGTCCCTGAAAGCAACCAGAACTGCAAAACAGCAGCGGGTACAGTGGGTCAGGCTCTCTGCCACCCTAGCTGCGAGCGGAGCAGCCTCCCAAGAGATGCAAAGGGCTGTGGCTCATCTGTCCTTAGGGGCCCAGGCCTGGGATTGAGCGCTTTCCCGAACCCGGGAATTCTCCGGGCGCTCTGGGCCTCGCTGGGCCAGGATATCTAGGGCTCTTTGTCTCTCGACAGCTCTAATCTTGAGAACAACGCTCAGGGAAGGCGGAGGGCCCTTGTGCCTTGGACAAACCCGCCACGGGCAAGTCTGGTCCAATGTTTTCAATAAAATGCTTCCTGGGGTTGGGGGTGGGGTGGGGAAAGAGGGTCGCAGAAGAATTTGTCTTCAGAAGTTAATCTATTTTCAGTAGCGGTTAAGCGCAAGCACGGCACCAAGTAAATCAGATTTTAAAAGATCCTTAGGAAGGAAGGAAAGGGGTTAAGGAAGGAAAGAGGGAAGCAATACTTAAACCCTAAAGTTTGTTTGGGTTTGGGTTGGCTTTTCCTCACCACCCCAAACAACTCACGGGGAAGAGGGATGGAAGAAGATCAAGTCCACCCCCGTGTGTGTGTGTGTGTGTGTGTGTGTGTGTGTGTGTGTGTGTGTTTTCCCCAAACTCAGAAGGTGAGTGCACCATCTCCCCAAACCAAAAGCTGACACCCTGGGAAGGTGAGCAAGAGGACGATATTATTAAATCAAATGACAAAATGATAATGGTTGAAAGAATGAAAAGTGTCCCTTGTCATCCAGAACCAAGAGACACAGAATGACATTGCAACATCCTTTTGGAGTGGTCTTTACCTTCCGTGATGCCAGAAGGGGCCCAAATATGTGAGCTTTTGCACAAGAAAGGGATTTTTCCTCTGAGGTTGTCTACACAGCAGGGAGGCATCAGCTAAGTAATTTGTCCTAAAGTGTGAGCGATTTCTGGCATTTGAAAGTATTTTTCTTTCTTTCTTTTTTTTTTTTTTTATAAAAAAAGTCATCATTAACAGTGGCTCGGGTTAGTGACCATAAAATGGCCAGAGAGAAAGGGCGGGAGGAGAAGCTCAGCTCTAGCCGGGCCAGTCATATTTAATATGCTTCTTACAATAGAAGCTTCTGTAAAATCAATAGACAGCCGCCAGCTGTGCTTAATACTGCGATTTCAATTAAAGCCCTGCGCGCTCGGGTCCTTGGGGTTGCGCCCAAATCCCCAATCAGGGGTGTGCGAGTTGTTTGGCCTGAGTGTCGCGTCACAAGGCCACGAATCCCAGAGGTCGAGGCCCAGGTCAGGCCCCACGGAGCCGCAGGCTCTGCAGAGTGGGAAGGGAACAGGCTGCAGAAGGGCCTCAGGCTTAACTCTGGCGTTTTCCTACCGAGGCTGGGTGTTGAAGCCCCAGAGAAGGACAGATGGCGAAGAAGCAAGCGCGACTGGATTTGGATGGGGGCTCTTCCAACCAGGCAGGCCTGCAGCTGAGGCCTAGGCCTGGTGGCCCTGTGCGATGGGCACACCCAGTAGAACTGGGCGGGACCCTACAGGCCTAGGTGTCCATGTTTGGCCCCAGGATGTCTGGGAATACAGGGGAAGAGAGCATACTGCGGCCTAGTAGGTCTCCCTTGGGCTGCAACTACCTACCTCCTGCTCAGGCAACAGACTGTGTCCCTCTCTCCATCCCAGGGCACCAGCACTCCCAAAGTGGACTTATATGCTTGTCCTGGTTTGCAGAGAGACTCAAGTTCCAGAAGGTCACCAGAGCCCTGGCCCCCACTTGGTTAGAAAAATCACTGCTTTAAATGACAGGACATCATTAGAGGGGCGGTTCTGGGAAACTTTCAGTCCCTGAAACATCTGCTCAGTCCTGGAGTCTGGTGTAACCTTCCGTGTCAGGTTATCTGAGATCCCTCCCCCACAACATACACACTGAAAATATGTAGGCAGGGAAAAAACGTCACCCCCCTAAACCCACAGAACTCCAACTCCCTCAAATTGTGAGATTTTAATTTCTATCATCCCTCTTTTTTAAAAAAAAAAGAAGATAACATTTCAGTCTCAGAAAAGAAAAAAAAAATGATGCTTCCTAGGAGAATGGATTTGGAGGGTTGGGGGGACAGCAAGTGGAAATCTCAGCTCTCTCTCCACCATTCACCGCGTTTCCCCAGTCTTCTATTATTCTGCCTGAAATCATCTCGTTTACAGAAAATATTTGTTTGCACTATTAGTTGGTACTGGAGTTAATTACTCAATGTGTTAACGTGAAGTAATATGTATAAAAGTAGGATCAGTGTTTATTGTGTGGGTGAGCTGTTGAGCGGTGCTTGAATAAACTGCAATTAGGGTTAGATAGAGATTAATTAACATGTGAGTGGCAAGGTGTAAAATAGTTTCCAACCCTCCACTTCAATATAATCTGCAGGCGAGGGAAGGAGAAGTTTGTGGAAGCTAATTAAATACTTTCATAAAAGCCAGTGTATTCACCCAACATTTGGAAAGAGAGGCACATTAGGGGCAACTTGTTTTTACCCAAATGTTTTCTTTCTGTGGAGGTAGCACTCATTTGTGATGCCTGGGAGAGAGAGATGGCTTATACAGCCACAAAAAAAAAGCACTAGAGATGGCAAGGCAGGTTCACGGGAAGCCTTTGGAAGCCTTTCAGCCTGATGGAGCTTTCAAACCAGCAGATCTTTCAGCTGCTGCGGAGATCAACAATTACCCAATTTGGAAAAAGGGTTGGGGTGCGATGCTGGTGGCGAACAGGATCCACAGGAAAGTCGGATAGCAATTCAGGTTTTGTGAGGTTGCGGGTGTGTTGATATTGTTTCAATGTTGGAGTGAGTGGTTGGCTTCCTGTTTGGTGGGAGAGGAGAGGAACCTGGGCTCTTGTGTTCCTATTAACATAGGGAAGGGAGTACACTGGGGCTGAAATTCAGTCTCTCTGAACATGTCCTAAATTAAATGGGCTGTATGGAAATGTTCTCCTCCAGACGGGCAAGCCTCTCTCTAGCTTGGAAATCTGGAATTTGCCGGGGGTGGGGGGGCGGGTGATGTTAAGGGAACAGACTTAAGATTGCTGAATTTAGGGGCAGTTTCTGAGCCTGGCAAAATGAGAACATCAACCTCCTGTAGCCTCCCTCCAAGCCACTTTTCCTCAAAGACCTCTCTTTGTTCCTCCCTTCCCTACCTGTCCATATCTGGTCTGAAATAGCAGACAGAGGAGCTACAACTGGATGGATGGTAGAAGGAAAGAGAAGTTCTACAGGGGAAAAGGGAGTTATTTGCCAGCAGCTAAAACTAGCTTTCCTTGCCCCGTCCCTTGGTGGTTTGGGGGTGGGTGGGTATTTTGCACTGCTGTGGGGCCTGGGATGGGAATGGAACTCAGCCCTTCAAGACCTGTTCCTGAGTGAAGGAAAGGATCTGCCTCCACCAGCACTTTCTCCAGCTCCACATGATCGTGTGTCTTTGGAGATGGAATTCACTATCAAACCCTCAACGCTGTTTGCTCATATTATACCCACCGTAATCCTCTTAAACTGTGGTTGCGGCTACAAAGCTCGTGGTCTTGCAAAAGCCGGCTGGCAAGATATAATTGTCCCGCGAACAAAACCAGCCAAAAGTTTTCAAAAACCCCTGCACCCACCCCTCCTCCTTTCCTAAACCTAATTCTCTCGCTCGCTCTCTTGCTAGCCACCACCCCTCCCCACAAGAACCCTCAGCCTCGACCACTTTTGTTGTCGCCAAGAGCACCCGGCCTGTTGAAAGTGCTGGAGCGTCTTTGAGCAGTTTGTTGTGATACGCAGGTGGAATGGTCTGCAAACAGATGAATTCAGCCCCTCCAAACCAAGCGCGGAGCGCGCTGCTTTTGTGCGCTAGGCACAAAACGCTGAATTCCTCCGAACTTACTTGGGGCCTGTCTAGAAAAGGGCCTTTTCTTCCCTCTGCCTGTACCTCTGGCCACACTAAGTCTCTGCCCGCCCCCCTTCAGGCCCCCTCCCTCTCCCCTCTGATAATCCTTCTCTTTATTTTAGAAAAACACAAAACCCGGTTCCACGCGGTGCTTTAGTGGCTAAAAGTGAAAGAGCTGCCTTGGCAGAATTCAGCTCTATGAATCACTTCGGAAAATTGGTTCGACTGAATGGCCTTAGGAGGAAAAACGTTTTAATAGGATCCAGGGGAGGTTCTGCTGTTTCAATCTGCTCCTTAAACAGGTGGAGATTGGACCTTCTCAATTATACAAACAGTAAGTACCCATCAGCGGGGAGAGCTGCTCTCCGAATCCTCCCCGCACGCAGCCCTAAACCAGCCTCAGAGCCCGGTTTGCCTTGGAAACCCGATCATAAATCAGCAATTCGGATCGATTAGGATCTCAAACAGTCCTCTAGCTCCCAGGGCAGACACCCCCGGCCTCGGGCGGGGAGTCCAGAAAGCCGGAGGCGCACCCGCCCCGCACAGAGGCCCCGGGGATCCCGGCCTGGCTCTCTCGGACGCTTCGAGGTCGTCCTTAGGCGGCGGGAGCTCTTTCCCGACCTCCGACGACAGCCAAGGCGAGCTCGTTGCTTTTGCATAAATTAATATTTCCCCATTAACAAGTTCCCCCCTCCAAACGCGACGCCCGCGTCCATGCGCCACATCCTAATGAGGTAATTATCATTTGCGCGTGTTCGGGGCTGGCGCCGGCTCCGTGGGTAAATGGCAGTTTATTAGCACGATGCCCAGCTCGGCTGCGGAGGGCTAAGGGATACTTCGGTGACTAGACGGGCACACGGGGGCCCTTTGGGGCAGCGCGTCCGGGACTCCCTGCGTTCCCCGCGTGCCCCCAAACCCGTAGGCCCCCAAAGTTGTGAATCACGCACGGAACTCTGCCTAGGTTTGGGTTTGGGCTCCCCCCCCCCTTCCTTCCACCGGCAAAACCATCACGATTCCTTCCCCCTCCCCCCTCCCGTCTCTTCCCTCCTTCCCGATTCGCAAACCGCTCGCACTTTCCCGAGGGGAGCGCGGGCGCCAGTTGCCTCCTTTTAAAGTTTGAGGGGCGGTGGCGGCGGCGGCCGGCAGGCGCGGGGGAACACAGGGTCCGCTACGGGAGCCGCGCCGCCGCCCATGTCATTCCACTTCAAGTGACTTCATGTGATGTCAGCTGAATGTAAAAGACAGTGATCTCACGCGGAGGGGAAGATGTTTGCCATCAAAATGTGACAGAAGAGACACGCTGCATGGCTCGGAACGCATCTCCTTGGCGGTGGGGGAAAGAGGTAAAAGCGAGGTGGCTCTCCCGGTCCTCTTTAACTTTGCCCCTTCACTGTCCAGCTCCCAGCACGCGTGGCGGAGGCCTGGGTCCAGGGAAGGGCTCAGGGGGGTTAATTTGAGGCTCTTTTCTCTTTTTTCCCCTCTCTCCCTTTCCTTTGTAAACCCTCCCCCTTCCCCCTTTCATAGTCCCAGGGCAGGGGCTGGTGGGTTCCTTGGCGCGCCGGGTTAATGGGCGGTAATTTGGTACCCTTGGGTGCACTTTGTTCTGCCTCTGTTCATTTGAATGCAAATGGGTGACCCGGCCCAACTAGGTGCTTATTAAATTGCGGTTCCCCCCCCCCCCCCCTTTTCCGGAATGCAGACTTAGAGGAGAGAGGCTGTGCCCCGGCCCAGCCCGGCTCGGCTCGGCTCCGTGCGCCATGGCCAGCTCGGCTTCCCTGGAGACCATGGTGCCCCCGGCCTGTCCGCGCGCCGGAGCGTCGCCGGCCACCTCCAAGACGCTGGCCTTCTCCATCGAGCGCATCATGGCCAAGACGTCGGAACCCCGCGCGCCCTTGGAGCCCCGGCCTGGGGCACTGGAGGCGGACGGCAGCCAGAGCAAGAAACTGCTCAACCTCTGCTCGCCGCTGCCCTGTATGATCCCCCTCCAGCCCCTAGGCTACGAGGTGCCGTCCAAGACACTGCTCAGTTACTCTGAGCTCTGGAAAAGCAGCCTCCGGGCGGGCGGCGGTGGAGGAGGAGGAGGCGGCGGCGGCGGCGGGGGGGCCCCAGTGTGCGGCGCCAGCGGCTTGTGCAAAACCAACTGTGGCGTGTGCTGCAAGGCCGAGCTGGGCCTTGCACCGTCTGCACTGCCCGCGGGCAGAGTCATCAAGCCGCAGGTCATCAACCAAGCCGTGGGGCTGCCGGCCAGCGGCTCGCTCTACTACTTCAACTACCTGGACTCGACCGCATACCCACCTTCCGAGCTTCTCGGCGGCCACCTTTTCCCTTCTGGCCTCCTCAACGCGCAGGCTCCCACAGCTCTGGCTGCGCATCCCAAGCTCTTTCTGCTGGAGAACGCCAAGCTGGCCGGCCTGGCTGCGGACAAGTTCCCCCATCCAGCTCCCTATCCCCATAAGGAGCGCTTGCCCGCGCCGCTGGAACAGGTGCTGAAGGAGAACTCGGCCCTGACCGCTGAGCGCGGGGTCGTCAAGAGTCACAGCAAGTTACCCGGGGGCTCTGCAGACGGCAAGCCCAAAAACTTCACCTGTGAGGTGTGCGGCAAGGTGAGGCCCAAGGTCCTCTGGGGGCCGGGAGGGGCGACCGGCGAAGGCTGCTTCCCTGGGGCAGCCTTGATCACCCCTTTCTCCAGTTGAGGAGCTCTCCAGTAGCTGCGTACTCAAATTGGGTGCCTGGTTGGGCCTCAGTTTCCTATTCTGTAAAATGGGGATGCCGCTGTCAGCAGTCACACGGTACTTGGTGGAAGCAGACTGGGAAACACTTTGCTAAAGGGCTCTGGTTTCTGAACTGGGGTGTTGGTTGGGGGAGGTTGGCTGTGTGGCCTCCTGGGATTGGTAGCAGGCCCTCTGTGGAACTCGGCACAAAGCCCCCTCTTGTCCTTCCATAGGTGTTTAACGCTCACTATAACCTCACCCGCCACATGCCGGTCCACACCGGTGCCAGACCGTTCGTGTGCAAAGTCTGTGGCAAAGGCTTTCGCCAGGCCAGCACGCTCTGCAGACACAAAATTATCCACACCCAGGTATGTGGCCCCCGGGTCAGGCCTGGCCCGCGCGCAACCTCCCACCCCAAGTCTGAGCGATGGGGATAGGATGGCCAAAGATTTCCCCCTTACCCTTTCGGGGGAAAACCGTGTCCCTTTTGAGGTGTCCGGGAGGTGGCCTCTGCCCGGCGGCGATCTCAGTCTTACTGTGCGCGCGCCCCTCTCCGCAGGAAAAGCCGCATAAATGCAACCAGTGCGGCAAAGCCTTCAACCGCAGCTCTACGCTCAACACGCATATCCGCATCCACGCGGGCTACAAGCCTTTCGTCTGCGAATTTTGTGGCAAAGGCTTTCACCAAAAAGGTAAAGTGCCCAGCGAGGCCCTCTCCCCACCTCACCTCGAGACTTTACTCTGCGGGTTGCGGCCGGTGGGGGGGACGGCAAAGAGGGATCTGGAGATCGGCAGCACAAAAGCCGAAGAGTAGAGCCGAGCGATTCTTTGGAATCGGGTCTTGATGGGTGTAGGTGGAAGCTTTCCGGCCAGGGTTAATAGACCTCCCTGTATTCCAGCCGGATGCACCGGGAGACTCTGAATTTGGGAGGTGGGAAGGAAGGAAGAGGGCAGAAGGGGTAAACGTAGGAAAAGGAGAGAGTAAAGCCTTCCAGAAAGAGATTCCCTTTGTATTCGGCTCTCCCTTTTGAAATGGGAAAAATATATATATCTAGGGAATATCTGCCTCCTGGGAACAACTTAAGACTTGGGGGGAAACATGTAAGATTCCCAGTTCCCCAGGCCCCGTGTCCTGCTCAGATTTCCCAAGGCACTTTTGGATCTCCAGGTGGTTATTAGGAGACTAGAGGGAGTGACTTTTAAAAAAAATGATAAAGGAAAAAAAGACAAGGCGGGGGGCGAAGGAAGCCTGGGTTCGTGCGAATTTCTTCGAGCGAGGCATCTGCTAGGAGAAGGACACGGTGTGTCTGGGCTGCGAAAGTTTTCCGGCCGGCGGAGCGCGGCAGGAGGGACGCTTCACCGGCCCCTGTGCGGGGCAGGGTAGGGGCTCGGGCCAGCTCCGCAAGACTCAGTGCTTGGTCCTTTTGGGGAGTGCCCCGGGCTTGACGCATACGAAGTTTGACAACTTCTTCACTCGAAGAGGTCGCGCCCGCCTAGCCAAGCGTCGCCTTCTTTGCGCGGGCACCTGAGCCGCCCCCGGGACGCCTTGGGCCCTCTCATTCCACTGCATACCCCTACTTTTTTGTTTTGTTTTGTTTTGTTTTTGTTTTTGGTCTCCTGTAGGGAACTACAAGAACCACAAGCTGACCCACAGCGGCGAGAAACAGTACAAATGCACCATCTGCAACAAGGCCTTCCACCAGGTCTACAATCTGACCTTCCACATGCACACCCACAATGACAAGAAGCCTTTCACGTGCACCACTTGCGGCAAAGGTTTTTGCAGAAACTTTGACTTAAAGAAACACGTGCGCAAACTCCACGACAGCGTGGGCCCCACCGCCCCCTCCGCAAAGGACCTGACTAGGACAGTGCAGAGCTGAGAGCTACTGCCTTGTCCTCCCTTCCTGCCCTGTACCACCCCAAAAACAGATCACACGTATAAACTTATTTCTAAAATTAAAAGGAAAAAAAAAACTATAGCAGAGAGGCTAATATCTATTTATCAAAACCAGCATATTTTTGGAAAGTTAAACGTTTCCTCGATGACTGGCAGCAAACGCGTGGCTCCCACCTTTGTATATTCAGGAAATTTATTTAAATCCAGTGCGCCGAAACGTATTTAATTCCAGGCCTCGGCTTCTCCTCGGGCAGCAGGTTTTTAACCTCAGCCTGTCACCGTGAGCGCCCCAGAAGAGCGCGGCGTTCCCAGCCATCTTTATACAGCCATGTAATTTCTCCTGTACAAGCGAACACGGAATATATACACATGTGACTCAATAAACAGAATCATTAGTGCGCGTTTTCTTTCCCCCATCCCCTCCTCGAAAGGTGAACTCAGCAACTCCAAAGAACGAATTCGAAATAGACGTTTGTAACCTTTCCCTGCCCCAATACGACTTCCTTTGGAGCACTTGGGCCCAAGGTGAGGCCCAACTGGTGTTCTTGCGGCGCTTGTGTACCAAAGCACCCAGAAGCAAGGGCAAAAAGGCCTACATCCGCCTCCAGGAGGTGCCAAGTTTTTATTTGGTGACTGGTCAGACGCTTGGGATTCTGGGTGTTTCTTTAATTGGGTGAGAAAAATATTTAAAGGGTTAAAGTGACTGAATTTAGGGAGCAGCTTCTGGGTGCTCCAGTAAAAAGCGGCGCGCAGTGTAAGGGTTAAAGGCCAGGACACTGCCTCACTGTGGTGCTTCTAGGCACGTCCCTTCCTCTAGGTAATTTAAGGAAGGTAATCACTGCTCCCAGCCTCCCCTGGCGGCTAGAGCTGGAGAATAAGGGATGCGAGAGCTTCCGGGCTCCCTAGCCTGCGCGCTGGGGCTGGGGTTGGCTTCCCGGTGCCGTGCGCCCTGCCGCGGGAGGGCGCGCCCGGGCTCCCCGAGCTCGCCGCTGCCGCCTCCTGGGTCCCGATTACTGCGCAGTTAGCCCATTTCCTGAATAGCTATCTCCGCGGCCGAGCACGCTGATGAAATGATCTCACGCTTGCTTTCTAAGTAATGACCCAAATTAAGAGAGAAAACAGAGACCCTTCAAACAGCATTACATTAATCATCTAATCATTCCCAGGAGGGGGCCGGCCGCCGCTGCCCCGTTTGATCCGAATCTGGATAATCAAGAGCTCGGATTACTGGCGCGTCGCGCCGGGCCTGCCCTCCACCCTCCCCACACACTTTTAATATCCGCGCCGCGATTCAGCCCACGTCTTCTGGAACAATGTTACCCAGCGCCGGCAAGAAATGCGGCACTGGGCCCGGGAGTGTGCTTCCACGCAGCCTCCCCATTGAGGGGGCGAGGACAGCTGGGCGCTGACCCCACGCGGATTTCCACTGCGGGGGCACCTATTTGGAGGGAAAGATGGTTAATGCAAAGGGCCACCCCCCCACCACCAAGTATCTCTGAAAGTGACTTGAGTGTTGGTGAGAGCCCAATGCGTGGTACACAGTAGGTGCTCAGTGTTGAGAGCTCCAGTGGCTTCAACGAGCGAAAAAACCTCCTGTCCCGAGCACTGGTTCCCAGCCAGGAACCTGATCCATTCTCTCGGTTGTTGACAATAACCCGTAAGCTGGCGCTGATTATTCCCACTTTACGGTCGAAGAAATCGAGGCAGAGATCATCTAAACGAGACACACAGAGTCACCGGGCTAGGTAGGAAGGATTCAAACTCGAGCTTCTAGGAGACCAACGCTGCCTTGAGTCCTAATTGGTGGAGGAGGAATCTGGGGATTGGGGTTCCAGGGAATGACGCTCCAGGGCAGAGTAGAAGATCCGTCCTGGTCTCAGCGGACGGTTCTGTCCCCGGCCCCCGCCCATTTCGAAGACCCATTGCGCAGGGAAGGAGAATTGTCGATTTTGTTTGCACAGAGGACGGCGACAGCTTCCTCAGGCTGTCGCAGGGGTATTTTTAGTACCTCCGATTCAGAAATAGGAACGCGTACATTAGAATTCCATTTCCTGAAAGGAGAGCGTCCTCGTTTTTTTTTTTTTTTTGTATTTCTCTCCTCCCTCCCCCCACCCCAAGTCTGGGAAAACGCAGCCAGGGGAGGGGGGACGAGGAAACCAGGGGGATTTTAAATGTTATCTCGTTCTGGCTACAGTTTGTTGAGGGGAGATTGGGACCCAAAGAAATATGCAGATTTTAAAACTCCCAAATCTCGGTGCATGCTATAAACCTCAGGAAACCCCAGCATGGGCAGACGAGGAGGACTTGGCGACTTACTTTCGGATGTGGTCGTCTTACTTTCCCCAAGCATTACCCGTGCAGATTGCGTGGGGTTTAGGGAGTCAGCTCTATCACTTGTTGTCGTACAATGTTTTATTAGCCTTAACTGACATTCCCACAGCCCCCTAAGTTCTGGGACATCTTGAGTACTCTGATAGTCAACCAAAATCCTTTCCATTCTCTGGAGCTGGTCCTTTTGAAATGACTTCTGGAGATCGGAGGACATCAAGCCCACCTCCTTAAATAGCTCCAGAACTTTGGGCAAAGCAGACACCAGGATTTCGAATGCAAAGGGAGAAGTTGGCCTGCACATGAAAATCATGGTCAAGTTCTTCTCTTTAAGAAGAAAAAGATAAATAAAGAAGCCGGAGCATGCCAGTCAGAGAGATAACTTTCTAACCCGTCAAGTGAGAGAACTTTCTTTGAGAGAGTCTTCCTTCTGTAATAAGTTTCTACAGGAGAGAAACTAAAAGGGTCAGCCATCTCCTAAGGAAGAGAGAATTGTTTCCAGATTGGCAGTTCTGAAGAGGGGTGGGGATTGTTTCCTTGTAAAGGAGGCAGCAAATAAGATAAAACTCGTAGGTGTCTTAGGAGGTATTTCTCTCTTGGACTGCTCATCTCTGCAGTCTGGAAGACTTACTGTGGCTCAGGGGTATACCTGCTCAGAGTTCCTTGCACCCTCCAATCTCCTTGAGGTTGTTCCCTTGTAACTTGATTGCTTCTTAACCTTCACACCAGCTTCTGTCAATCGCTCTCACCTGAGAAGGTGTTATTTCACATCTGACTGTAATTGTAGATAAACAGAATATTTCTGCATCTATAAGGCTTAGCTCTGCTTTCCATGGGTTTGAAGTCACTCCCGGATTTGAACGTGTGGATTCCCTTCTGGTATGGGGTGCAGGAAAGGATTCCTTCACCTGAAAAGCCTTGCAGGGGAGAGAAGGAACCTTGTGCCTGAATTACTACACACCTTTCACTGCCAGCACCAGTTCTGAAGCCAATGCTAAGCCTCTTCAATAACAATCTAAGCTGGGATTCTTCTTAGTTATTCACTATGCATCGGAATTAATGGGTGAAAGGCTGTGTTTTCTGATTTTTTCCCTTTCTTAATATTAAACTGTTTGCATGACTTGTAGCTTACAATACTAATAAATGACTTAAACAAGGTAGTCATCAGCTGCATATTAATATTCTAACCTTGATTAAATTGAAGAGGCCACCCTGAAAAAAAATATTTTAAAAAAAATCTAGTTGCGGGGGAGGGGAATCCTGTCACAGACACAAAAAAGACTCCAATTATCTTTTCCCCTACAAGATGTTTGTTCTGTCCATGACTGCTCACACTTCAGCAATCTTGCCAGCAAGACTCAAAAAAAAAAAAAAAAAAAGCCTCTTCCAAAGCCACAGCCTTGTACATAACAGATTGTACAATCCCATTGCCTTAGGCGGGTTAGAGGTTCCTCTCTGCAAAGAGCGAAACGGAGAAGTTGCCAGATCCAGACACATTTTGGGGGGTACCGCGACCCGACCGTTCTTGCCTTGGCTGCAGAGGTGGGTCTTCAAGCCCCTCCCGCCGCCCCCTCCCTCCCCATTTTGCTGTTTGGCTCAGGAGAAGGTAGGGGGTGGCCTGAGTCAGGCTGCAAGTTACTGAAGAAGGCGTGTCCAGGTGTGCAGGTGGTGAATGGGCTCGGGGAGGGAAAGGGATGGGACGAAGTGTGTGTGGGGGGGTGCTGCCAAAGAGGGGACAGGAGTCTTAAGAAAACGCTGGGAAATAAACAACCTCAAGGCAGCTGCGTTGCCCTTTTCCCTGCACTTGCCTCTCAAACGTCTGAGCAACCGGTTTGCTCCTAGAAACATGTTAATTGCCAACGGAGCTCATTAAGGCATGCACATGCAAAACACAGCAAGAAAGATTAAATGGACAAAAGCGCAATAATGAACTGTCAACAATCGGGCCCATCTACGAGACCAGGATCACTCAAGAATGAGGCATTTAGAGGCAACAAAGGATTGTCTGGGACAGGAAGAAAAGACGACCTAGACTTTTGTTTAGTCAACACAATTGATTACAAATGAGAGATTAACAGGATAGCTTCAGATTTTTTTTTTTTTAAAAAAAGAGGCAGAAAAGAAAAGTCCAATTAAGTCCACCGAATGTTAACTACATTGCGTTCCATGCCTAGCCCCAAAGAAATTCTCATTAAACCATCCCTGGCGATCCCTTTTGGAAAGTAATTTGTCTCCCTGATGGAGCAGAGAAAGAGAATCGTGTAAAAGAAAGCGTTAGTTCTTGGCACAATGAGCTTAGGAGACACACTGGAAAGAGCCAAAGGGGGAGTTAATGAGCATCTGACAAACTGCTTGGATTCAGGCCTAGAGAACAGCGATGAAAAGATGAAATTGGCCAACAACTATTCTTTATATCAAACATAAAAAGGCCAATCTGAAATGGGGCTGCTCAAAACTGGTTGAAAGTACATAGCTCAAGAAAAGGAGCCGCGGCCAGGCCCCTTGGTGGACAGTGGACAGACAGTGTGAAGAACTCAACAGGCCAAGAGTTAGGAAAGAAGCCAGGAAATGAGCTCTCCAGCGTAGAGCAAGCTCCCGTCGTGGGCCGGGGGTGGGGGGGCCTCTGGAGGTGCTGATTTGAAGTTCTTGCTTCGCCCCCCCCTCCCCCACCCACCCTCTGGATGTTTCTTTCATAAGTTAAAAATCTATCAGGCCAGCACTGGAGGGTTTCCCCTCCAAAAGTTCTGGTCTCTGGTAATTAGCCGTTGCCATGTGCCAAACCATCCCTTCTCTTCTAGACCCCTTGGCCCCAGGGGACACCCTGTGCTATCAGCACACACTCAGGTGGTTCTCTGTTCTCCTTTCTCCTAATGACCATTCACAGTTTTGACCCTCAAGTGGTTGGCTTCCTAATCCTGCATGAAGCACAGGTGGCCAGGAAATGAGGACATTGGTGGCACTTGGGTTTGTGGAACCAGGCATCATGGATTTAAATTATTTCTCATAATTGTGCATCTGGGTGAAGAATAGCTTTATTTTAATGTCTCCTTTTTGACCAAAGTAGGCCAAGGGTGTATGTCCATGTGAGACACATTATACTTTAATTAAACCTAAGCATCCAGGTGTTCCAAAGTCAGAAGCATTTGAGGTTCTTCTTTTTAAATGTTATTATATTTTTAGATTTATTTATTGTTATGTGGCACTGAGGATCAAATTCAGTGCCTCGCACATCTAGGCAAGCGCTCTACCACTGAGCTATAAATGCAGCCCCAGCAGCCCCAGTGTTTGAGGTTCTTTTACCAACCCTGTTGAGAAGAGCCAGGTAAACAGAATTCAGAGGTGAGATGAGTGTTCAAGGTGAGTCTCCTAGCTAAGTAATCCAGAATAAAGCCTGTGATTCTTTTCCTTGTGTGCCCCGCATTGGTTCTGTCCCCATGGGGAAGATACTGGGAATTGAACGCAGGGGTGCTGTACTACTGAGCTACACCCCCAGCCCTTCTAATTTTAATTTTTAATTTTTAAAAAAATTTTTATTGGTATGGAGATTGAACCCGGACACACTTTATCACTGAGCCACATCCCCAGCCCTTTTTTTTTTAGTTTTTAAGACAAAGTCTCAGTAAGTTTCTGGGGCTCACCTTAAACTTGTGATCCTCCTGCCTCAGCCTCAGTCATTGGGATTATAGGCATGTGCCACTGTGCCCAGGTGAGTGCTAAGCCTGTGTTTTCTTTCTTTTTTTGCCTGTGTTTTCTTAATGCCTTTATCTATCCATCCCATCTTTGAGGTGGGAAGGATGGCATTGCAGGTACTAGAGTATAGCATTTGTATCTTGATTCCAGGTTTTGTATTTTTACTCTCAAATACTTGGTAGCAGTTGTCACATTTCTGAGGGCTTGGCTTACACTCCAGGCTTTGCTCATGCTTCGTGGAAAAAAAGAAAAAAATATATATTGGTGTCTAGAAGTAAGGAAGGGGAAGAAGTCTACCAATTCAAAATAAAAACAGTCATCTAAGATTAAGGACCAGTTCTGGCTTTCAAAGCACGGAGGTGTGATAGAATCTAGAAGGCATGTGTCAGGAAAGGGTGAAGAAAAGGAACGATTCCGTTGGAGGGAGACCAGAGTCTGATATATATATATTTGGTTCTTTCTCAAAGGATCGTGTCTAAACCATAAGACCTGACCTATTCATTATTGTTCCCCTCATTAAGTCTTCTTCAGCCCTGAGTCTTATTTGCAGTTCTTTCTCCTCAGAGTTTTAGTGTCCCCAAAGTGGCTGGTGGTGAATTACCTAGGGAGCATAATAAATGATCTATAAGAATAAAGGAAACTATGTAGTTTGGATCCTGAGATCTGATCCCAGAGCAGCTGAGTTCAAATCCTGTTACGTCACTTACCCAGAAAAATCACTCTTCTGTTTCCTTGTCTGCAAAATGAGGTTCTTAAGAACACCTCACTCCCAGGGCAATAGTGAAGATGAAATAAGTCAACATTTATCACTGGAGTCTTAGAATAGCAGCTGGCTCCTGCATGCCTCAGCACACCAGATTGGTATCAGTAAAACTTTAATGGAACACTTTATAAAGAAACCACCTATATTATCTTGTTCATTACTGTTTATATATGAATTGGGTAGGTCCCTTAGTCCCATTTTTATCATTTTTTTTTTCTTGCTGAGGACTGAATCCAGGGCTTTCTGCATGCTAGGCACATGCTCTACCACTGAACCCCAGTCCTCCAGTTTGAAGGGCAGCAAACTGAGTGGTTGACAGGTCTGACTCCCTTTAGGTCACAGAAGTGGAACAGAATGGAGCTGGGATCTACCTTCAGATGCCTGTGAGTAGGTTGACACAGCTCTAACTGGAATGTACATGATAATCACAACATTTTTACTAAGAATGCACATTCTTGCACCTCCTTTATCAAAATGTTAAGTCAACAAATCTCTCTGTAGCCCAGGAACCTGCATCCTAACAGATGCAGGTAGTTCCCCGACTTAGAAAAATACTGATGGAGCTAGATGAGGTCCTTCACTCCCAGTGACTAAGGAGGCTGAGACAGGAGGATTGCAAGTTCAAAGCCAGCTTCAGCAACTTAGTGAGACTCTGTCTCAAAAACAAACAAATCAACAAAAAACCAAAACACTGAACACCCTTGTCCTTTCCACCAACTCATCAGGATGCTGCCTTTAATTGATGAAATAACTTCGTTGACCCCTTATCAATTAACACACTTGATCATTCATTCAACCAACATGGCTTGAATAACCCTTATGCACCAGGCATTCTACTGGGCACTGAAAGTTACCAAGAGGAGGAGGACACAGCCTCTGCCCTGGAGGAGTTTATAGTTTAGCAGAGGAGAAAAACACATACAACAAAAATCCCAGCAGGGTACTTGGTTATGAAGATGAAATTGGGCATTCAATCCAGTCTGGGTTGGTGTGTGCAGTGGACATCTGTTATTTTTGCCTGCTGATCATCATTCTCCCGTCTGGTAACAACATCCAACAGTTCCTTTGGCGAAGCCACCCCTCCCCCACTCTCAGTCCATATGGTTAAGGTGGGAGCGGTTTCTTCCCTCCCTGGAGGACATGTGACCCGGGCCGGGCCAATCAGAGCAAAGCATCTTCCTAGCCTGGGGCAAAGGCTCAGGATTGGGCACCTGACCCAAATCGGGCCAATGAGATGCCAAGCCAGGACTTTTGCCCGAGGAGAAGGCTTTATAAGTAGGTTGACTGTTGATCTGGAACTCTGGTGTGGGCCTCAGTATTAGAGATGGACGGCGAGAGGAATTGAGGACCCCCGTGATGCAAACTGGATGCACAGGGGGACTTTGCAAGAACTTGCTTTGGTAGCCTCCCTGAGACTCTTGATACTGGGCAGGAGAAGTCCCAGGTGCCTCTGTAGGGAAAGAGATATCTAAGATGTCAAAGAGCAGCAGCTTTTAACCGTGTGGAGAAGAAGATACCTCGGGCAGCCGACGTGAAAATCTAGGAGGAGAAATAACTGGTGACGAGTTGATGGCACCTAGATGTCATTGCTGTGGCTAAGTGCAATATCAACAGATCTGACTTTGAAACCAAGTTCCGCTTCTGCGTAGCTGTGGGATCCTGGGCCAGCTAGAGGCTTGCTTTCCTTGCGCCTCGTGAGGAACAGCAAGGAATCCACCACCGGAGGCTGTTTGGTCCATTCTGTGCAATGGGACCAGTTAACCACCTGAACCCTTCCAGGCATTCAGGTAAGTGACGGAAATTATCATAACGGGAAAGTTAGATACCTACGGTAACAGGGAGTGACTGACCGGCTAAGATTCCTTGATGGGTCCATTGGAGTGGTCTTTAGAAGCTGGAGACATCTTAGAGCAGAAAAAGTACCCATACCCGTGTCCCCCCCCGGGGCTGTTTTACTCTAGTGGGATTGTAGATGAACTATCCTAGGCTTTGGAGTCACGGGGAGCAGCTGATTTCAACACTCCCCAGCTGTATGACTGTGGGTGATTCCACTTAATATTGTGAGACCTGTTTGCTTAGTCTTTACAGCCTTTAGAACTAAGAGGTGTGCTCAATTTAAATGAGATAAAAATGTGTAACATGCGTGTCACCTGGGTGGGTATTGAATACATTGGAGCTACTTTTGCTAATTAGGGCTGCTGTTATGACCACTTAAATAAACCTGGGACAGTTGGTCTGCAGAGCAATAGGACTCCAGAGTTGTTTAGCAAGTAAAGTGCTGTTGAGCTACAAGGGCAGGGACTGTGGGTTGACCGCTTTGTGCCTGATGCCTGGCTTGTAGGAGGTAACACTGAAATTAAGGGTTGGGTGTCAGCCTTCACTCCTCCCCCTGGGTGAGAAGGTTACCCAGCCCAGTCTTCCTAGCAGCTACCTCATGCTCCATCCTGTAGGAATTTGTTCCTAAAACATGTATAGAAGGCTTGCTGTGTGCTGAGAACTGTTGTAGGGGGGATACAGATGTAAACACAGTACCTTTAACTTGAAGGATCATGCATTCTGATGGATGACTAATGATAAACAAACCAAGACACATAATAATTTCCAGTAAGGAAATAAAAGGGTGACCAGATAGGTCATGTCTGCGCAAAGGCTATCAGAAATAGGAGGTCAGTCTCGAGCTTGGTGGCACTTCAAGTGCCTGATGCACCCAGGAACTAAAAGAAGTATGGATGCAATTGCAATTGGTCCCTCACGTGGATCTGCTTGGATTTAAATTAAAAAATTTCCCCTCCCCCACAGCCCTCCATCGCCCATTGGTGGGTGGGTCCAGCTCACATCTGCTCGGGACTCAGCAAAGAAGGTTCCCAAGGGATACCACGGAAAACAAAGAGCAGTATAGGTCTTTGACCCATTTACCATTTTCCCACCGAATGGAATGGTAATTGATCAAAGTGAAAAATTTTATAGAAAGAGATGCTCTGCTGCCATGTTTTTTCAACCGTGTGTTTCCCAGCCAAGTCTCCAGATGGAATCACCGAAGCAACACATCCTTGACTTAAATGTGACTGTTTAACAGTTATATTGGGTAGGCCATATTTTTCTACAAGGAGGTGGTTGCTTGTCTTAGGAACCCGAGACTCTTAACAGACTTTTGGGTGAGAGCTTTCCAGGATACCACTCTTTCTCTCACACTTCCTGAAGTCACAGAAGTCAGAGACCTAGCTGGGGTGTCAGGAGATGAGAACGACACAGTGAACTGTTACACAAGCTCTGAGAAGGGCTGGGGCTGGGAGGATGTCTTGGTGCGAGTGACTGCCACTAATAACCCTTCCGAAGCGGAAAGATGCTTCAGTTGGTGGTTTGGGGATGTTCACCCTCCACTTTCTTCTGGTTATCAGCCTTCTGATTCTGCTTTGGAAGAACCGCCCTTGTCCACTGAACTCAAATCATTGCAACTGTGAAAGAATGCATGCCACTCTCTGACCACTGGCCAGGGATACACATGGGACCCCAGCTGGGTCATATAGGTGCTTTCTGTGGAATTTGACCCTTGAGCAGAAGGCTGAAGCTGCAGAACAACTGAAGCTCATTCATTCCAAGGAGAATGTGAATCGGACATATCCAGAATGGCTCTCATTGCTGCCCTTCCCTTTGTGACGTGGGCACTGCCATGTCATTCCTGTGAGTTTCTTTCCCAGTTTGGCCAGAATTGTTTTCTGTGGTTTGTAACCAAAGATTAGTATTAATAATCTTTCTACCCATGACCCACCTTCTCTTTAGGGTCCTTAGAAATGGAACATGTAAGGGCCAGGGGCTGTAGCTCAGTGGTAGAGCAATTGCCTAGCTTGTGTGGGGCACTGGGTTTGATCCTCAGCACCGTAAAAATAAATAAAGGTTAAAAAATGTGTTTTTTTTTTTTAAAGGGACATCTAAAGTTTAAGAGTAGGGAGCAATCTGGTGATTTTTTTTCCCCCTTTATCACTTTCATGATGTAGGAACAACTGTGTAATGGGATGTGTAATGGGATGAGGTCTGGTTTCTAGGAGTTTGGTTAACAATTTTCTGCTTTGTTTTTTTGGTATTGAGAATTGAACCCCAGGGGTGCTTAACCACTAAGCCCCATCCCCAGCCCTATTTTGTATTTTATTTAGAGACAGGGTCTCACTGATTTGCTTAGGGCCTTGCTAAGTTGCTGAGGCTGGCTTTGAACTTGCCATCCTCCGGCCTCAGTATGCTTTGTTAACTGAAGAATACAAATGCTAAAAACTGGTGCACATTTGGGGCAAGAAGTTTTATTATTCCTTTTTTTTCCTTTCCAAAAATGAATTCATATAATTTCACCTAGAACTACATATGCTCTATAAGGATGTCAGTATAAATAGAAAACCAAAGGAAAAAATACTAGAAAAATACACTTGTCTACGAGGGTTACTGAGATAGAGGATTTGCTTCCACAAACATGGAATCTCCTGGTAACTAGGACAAAAATGGTAAGGACAAATGGGTTCTATTGTCCTGATATTATTTGAGAGACACCAGAAAAGAACTTCCTGAATCAGATTGCTCTCAGGTTTTCTTTCAATCTCTCCTTTTTAAACTTTATTTTTAACAACTTTATTATTTTTATGTGGTGCTGAGGATTGAACCCAGGGCCTCACACGTGCTAGGCAAGCGCTCTACCACTGAGCCACACCCCCAGCCCATACTTCTTCCATCTTGAATACTATGAAGTATGTGCTTATGACTCCTCATAGGGGCTTGCAAATCTTAACCTATAAGATCAAGCTCTTACAGGTTAGCATCAGTTTGGTTGTTCAGTAACAACTAGAAGATACCACCAAGTTCTGTCCTGGCACAGAATTTATGTGCAGAGGTTGGGGTTTGCAGGGGTGGGGGGGTATGCAGGGAGTCTCCTTTATCTGATGATTGTGGCCGAATTGTGTAAATGCCTGTCTTCTAGTAAAATTGCCTTCTTGACCAGAATGTACGCTCACATCAATTTCTCATCTTATACATCTGTCATAAAAATGTACAGGGTTTCTCTGGGGAGCAAGGCAGAGTGAGTTGGATGTTCTGAGTGCGCCAGAATAAACATGGGATTTCAACTGTGGGCCTAGGATTAATTTGAAGAAGGTGCACTGGGTCTCTATGGTTTACTCTCAAATCTATAAAATTGACATAAGACCACTGACTATCTACTGCAAAGGAATATTGTGTTGGAAAAAGAACGTAGCGGTGTTTGCACTTGCCTCCCCAGAGGGAGGCTTTTTAGAACTCACAAGTGGCTGCTCGAAGCTTCAACTCCTCATTGCTTCTGGTTAGATCATGCGAAATCAATAGCTTGGGAAGTCAGTGTTATACATTCACCCTCTGGGAGAATAAATACCAACGTGTCTGCGAGAGAGGAGAGATTTGGGAGTTTTGAATCTCGCTGTGAGTTCTTGAGAGGTAGCTGATTTCCTCCTAGGTTTGGTCTTGCCCACTTTTACTCTGCCCAAGGGATGGGTATTCTTTATTTCTCTCTTCCTTTGAATCTCTCCTTTTTGTCCTGGGAGTAGCATATTTCAGAAAAGCCTTTCCTGGAAAGGCCAGGAGTTCAGTAATCCTGATGGTGTGGCAATGCTTGCTAGAAGTTTGACTTACAAAGAGACATATATTTGGAGGAGTCTTTACTTCCTCTTTGCCCAACCTAGATTTCCTCTGTTTCCCTCATTTCACTACTTTTTTTTTTTTGGTTCTGGGGATTGGACCCAAGGGCTCTCAACCACTGAGCCCCATCCCCAGCCCTATTTTGTATTTGATTTAGAGACAGGGTCTCACTGAGTTGCTTAGCGCCTCGCTTTTGCTGACGCTGGCTTTGAACTCAGGATCCTCCTGCCTCAGCCTCCTGAGCTGCTGGGATTATAGGTGTGGGCCACTGCGCCCAACTCATTTCACATTTCTTCCACTCTTTTCCTTCATAGTATTAATCACAAAGTTCAGACTGTAGTTGTTGCAGGCTCCATGCTCTCAAACTGGGGAGCAGAAACCCAAAGGAGCAGAACTTCTATTCTGTCATAACTAGTTTATTTGGCATTTGCTATATACAGGGAGTCTGATGAATGTTGTTTTTATTTTATTGAACCAGAGGCACTGTACCACTGAGCTCCATCCATAGCCCATTTTTTAAAATTTATTTTTTAATATGAATTGCTTAATATTGCAAAATATCCCCTTGCCTCTGAATACTATGATTAGAATATGAAGAGAAATAAGAAAATGGTCACTTTTCAAATTTGAGAACAACACTCTGTCCTGAAAAAAATCTACTTCCATCAGTTGAGGAAGGTTTGACAAAATTATTATTAATGTCTTTTTTTCCGTAAGTGCTTTGCTGCTCAGTGCTTTCTTTTTGTTTCTTTAAAGAATGAATACCTATTCTTGATAGTTTTTAAATTCTAATTTGTTATATATGACAGCAGAATGCATTACAATTCATATTACACATATAGAGCACAATTTTTCATATCTCTGGTTGTATATTCATAGCCCTTTGTAAAAATTTGAGACGGGGGTGGGGGTGGGGGTTGTGGCTCAGTGGTGGAGCATGTGTCATGCACGTGTGAGGCCCTGGGTTCCATCCTTAGCACCACATGAAAATAAACCAAAAAAGGTATTGTGTCCATCTACAATTAAAAAGTATTTTAAAAAAATTTTGAGACAGGATCTCACTAAGTTGCTGAGGATGCTTTTGAACTTGCCTCAACCTCCCAAGTAGCTGCGCCGACAGGCTTATGCCACCATGCCCAGTTGAATGTTATTTCAATTCTCCTAAACTTGAAATTGCATGTGTCATCATTTTAGTTGGGGGGTGAACAGAGATATCCAAAGGCTAGAGTTTGACCCCAGCCGTGCCTGGCAGTATAAGCATGTGAAGCAGATGCAAGTCCCCAACTGTGTCCTTTTCACCTCCGGGTGATGTCTTCTCCCCTTCTGGACATGGCCAGATCTGATGCACCCTCAAAGTGTAGCTCAACACTGCTTCCTTCCAGGTGCCCCAGTTTTTTGTCTTTAAAACTCAAACCTTTTATTTTAATTTTTTTTCTTGTGTCAGGGATCAAACCCAGGGTTGCTCAACCACTGAGCCATATCATCTGCCCCTTTTATTTTTCAAGATAGGGTCTCACTAAGTTGCTGAGGCTGGCCTCAAACTTGCGATCCTTCTGCCTCAGCCTCCTGAGTCACTAGGAACCTAGGTGTGCACCACCACACTCAGCTCTCAAACTTTATCTATACCTCTTTTGTGATGTCATGAAAAGGATTTCTAGTTGGGTTAAAACTGCCATCTTGTACCTTGTGTCACCAATTTCATATATAGGTCCCTTTAACAGGCTGGTCTGGCTGCAGACTCTGGCTATGAACTCAGCTACCTCTGTCTTCCTATGCTCTGGAAACTAGCTGTGTGGCTGTTACTTCTCTCTTTCCTGCTAGAATATAAAGTCCCTGAGGGCAGGGGCTGAATCTGTCTTGTTCATTAGTATATCACCAGCACAGTGCTTGGCCCACACTAGCTGTTCAGTAAATATCTGTTAGGAAACTTCAGTTCACGTCACTCTTTTGCTCACACTATCCAGTGCTTTACCACTGAACACTCAGAGTGAAAGCTATGTTGTTACTTATGAGGCCCCTACAGCATCCCTTCCCACCTATGTCTCTGAGCTCATCCACCTTCTTTCCCTCACTCCACCTATATTGGCCTCTTGGGCTATATGGGCTATATTGGCCTCTTGTGTACCAAGCAAGTTCCTGCCTCAGGACCTTTACATTTGCCATGCTTTCTCCTGGAACCATTTTCTCCATCCCTTTTCATCCTTCTCTTATGCTTACATCTTGCCTGAATACTAGTATCTTGGAAGGCCTTCCCCTAGCAATCTACTTGAAATGCAGAACTTTTACCTATGATGCCTATAATCTCCTTCCTTTCCTTCTCCTTCCCACACACATTCCTTATTGCCCCTCCCTGTTTTTTTTTATTGTATTTCTTCCCCTATTAGATGAGCATCAGCAAGGATCTTCAGATGTTCTCTTCCCTGCTGCATTTTTTCAGATTCCAGAATAGTACCTGTCACATAGTAGATGTTTGATACATATTAAATGGATGGCTATCTTGTCCCTTCTGATCTGCCCCATTATTCTTCCTCCTAAGTCTCAGCAAGCCTTCATCAAACATCGCTTCAAAGAATGACCAGATGCAACACTACAATATGGTCCCTTCAAAGAGTATGCTGGTGGGCTGGGAACGTGGCTCAGTGGCAGAGTGCTTGCCTGCCATGCATCAGGCCCTGGGCTCAATCCCCAGCATTACAAAAAGAAAAAAAAAATGTCAGGCCTATTGCATTGAAGTGGTGAAGATTTTCAGCAAACACTTGGGGACGTAGAAGAGCCACGCCTGAAATAATACTGCAAAGCTGTAGCTCTTTGCCTTTTGCTGGAATTGATGAATCTAGCTGGTCACCAATGAAACAAAATGATGTCTCTGCCTGCCATCTTTCCCACCTCTCACCCCTGACACCTCTCACGACTTCCTCTCTGCAAACTCCATCACTTTTCATTATAGACCATCTCTGGGCTAAGGAGCCGGCGGGCTTCTGCAAGTGGGGGCAGTTCTAGCATTCCTTGAATTCTACGAACTTCTGGTTTAGCTCCACTCTTAAGACAGGGAACAAAAAAAGCAATGAGAAAGTTGAGAGATTGAACAGTGAGAGAATGAATAATGTCATTCATCGAAAGCAAAAAGCTGAGCTCAAGGGTTGCCTTAATAAACATGGTTTTTTAACAACTGAGGTTAAAAAAAACCTCAGTTTTTATATGCCAACTGGGCTGTGTGAGTCCACCATATTCAACAGATGTGTCTGAGGGTTTTGCATGGTGTGTGTGTGTGTGTGTGTGTGTGTGTGTGTGTGAAGAATCATTTTTTTGTAGCACACGCCTGTGATCCCACCAGCTTGGGAGGCTGAGGCAGGAGGATCACAGGTTTTGAGGCCAGCCTCTGCAACTTAGCAAGGGTGTAAGCAACTTAGTGAAACCCTTTCTCAAAATAAAAAATAAAAAGGGCCGAGGATGTGGCTCTGCGTTGATGTACCCTTCGGTTCAATCTTCAGTACCAAGGAGAAAAAAAAATCATTTTATCATATATAGATATTTTATACAAAGGACCTCTTCACCACTCACGACTGCTTTCTTTGTGCCTCCAACAGTACCTCCTGGGTGTCTCTACCCTGCGTTTTCCAAGACTTGCACTTGCCTGTCTCCTGGTTCTGCCCACCCTCAGCTCTGAGCTTCACTAGCTCGTGGTTAGTGGGGGGTTCCAAAGATTTCATTGAAAAACTTAATGAATGAATATAATGTGCCCCTTTCCTTCTTCATTCGTGATTTGGGTTGCTTGACCTAAATGTGAGTCACACCCTAACTGCACTTCTTAGATAATTGATGAGCATAAAATGTCTCATGTCAACATTTTTTTTTTTTTTAAAAGAAATGTAGGGCAAAAATGTCTGCAGTATCTCTACTTCTCTGGTCGCCCTAATGTTTTCTTTCTTAGACAGTTAGATGTTAGCATGATTTAAATGCTCCCGGAGAGAGGTCTGATTGGGAATCTCGGCACTGGTTTGTTTTATCAAGTATGGGAATGCATTGTGGGTTTTAAAAAGAATTTTAAAACCATGAGTTTCTGTGAAAACTCACCTTTTGTTCGTCACAGATGCCCCTGAAAGCCAAATACTTTCTCAATCCCACTCCAGAATTTGCTTCTGTTCAGCAGTTCGACTGATCAGTTTTCAGAAATTGTAGGAGAAGAAAATAAATTCTGTCTCCAAATGATGTTTATAATCTCATATCTAAATTAAAACATGTCGATTCCACAGCAATAGTCACTATGGAAATAGAAACATATAGGACTCGATTCTAAATCAGGAGCATGTTTAGCTGGGTGGTATATATTTTCTGTCATGTTTTTAAAAAATCTGTTACAGTGTATGCATTTTCAAAGGCTTGGATTTGATAAGCTTTTAAGAAAGAGTACGTGTGTGGGTCAGATTAGAATTAAATGTACTTTGTACGGTTTCAAAATGGGGTTCTGAGATCTTGTCCCATAAATGAAAGTCCTGTTGCATTCCTAGACTTATTGGATGAGATTTAAAAAAAAAAAAAAGCAAAAAGCATATGTGAAATAAACCCAGAGAAGCTTCCATGGCAGGCAGATATACTTAAACATTATCTCCATTCAAATTCTTCTAAAATTCAAATGTTGTATTAAGAATACTGACAATTATAGAATAGATTTTAGAGTTTAAATAGAATTGCCACTCACATCACCATTTACACCTAATTATCAAGCTTAATTTAGTTTTTAGAAACTGTTTAAAAATATATTTGCTAGTTCAAAAAATTGTCAGCTTTTTAAAAAAACCCTCCAAGGTAATAATAGAAATAATTTATTCTAATGTTATAGCATGCAACAAGACTTTAGGCTTATTTAGAAGTTTTAGAAGTTAAAAAAGCCTTTTCCCCCATTCAGATGAAATAATAATAAGCCTTTTCCCCTGTCGTTCCGGTGAAACAATAATATGTCATCATCCTTTTAAACTTTTTAAAAATTTTTCCTAGCCACGGCTTAACAAATAGTCCTTCAACCTGTATCAGCAGGGCCAGGCACTGTTCTGAAATCGAAGATTACTTCCCAGATCACAGAAAACAAACATATGCTGTGATCATTTTGCTTTAAATATCATAAGCCAAGCATATCACTCTTTTACATAAAATATATCATTATTCTCATTTTAAAATCACATAGTTCCTTTCTTTCAAGGAGCTCAAGATGTTTTTAGAGTCAAAACACATTATCTTCACATTACCCCTCTGAAAAACGGAAACCACGTCCTACCCACCTCTCCTTCCACCAGGCAGGCCTTTCCAAACATTAGAAATGGAAAAGAATTGATTTAGACACTCGCGGTGAAGACGGCAAGGGATAGTTCTGCTTGGTGTTGCCCAGTGGTAAAAGGAAGGTGGCTTACTCTCCCCTTAACCATAAAAAGAACTGTTGCCAAATCTCTATCTTCTCTTTAGACTCTCTGTCTCTCCGAGCAGGAGATGGGATCAGCATCTCTTCCTCTGCTGATACTTAACTGCAGAAATGGCTGGCTCATCTCCACTGTGCAGAACCATGTGGGGAAATACATGGGTCACACCATCTCATGGATGTGTTCAGAACTTTAGCCATTTGGACAGCCTTTTGAGAGTACAGCTTGTCTCCTCATTAAGCCAGAATGCTGAGATCTTTCTTGGTAGCAGCTGACAAGTTAACAGGCCTGCCTCTAAATGAATTAGAAATAATGATGTGGGAAGTGGAGGTGTGTGAGGTCCTTCCCGTTTGTTCTAATAGGGTTAACCTACCTATCACTCCTTTGTCTATTTTTTCCCCCCCTCTGTGTTCAACTCTGTTAATATACTTCAAAACTTTCCAGAGACTTGTGCCTTTAGACGCTTCCCTTGACATCACATGGACTCATACATTTATCTTTTTGTTTTTGAACTGAGATGACCAGCTGTTTTAGAGTTGCATCGATCCATTCTTTAAAAAAAAAAATTGATATTTAATCATTTTGCATAGATCCATTCTGAGTTGAAGCTCACAAATAATGGATTTGAAGTTGTGCCTGAAACTATAAAGCCTATGTGTCCTTTAGAACTCTTAGTTACAAGTAGCATGCATGTAAGGACACTGAGCACCTCATATTACAAGAAACCCGGAGGCAGAGGTGAGATTCTTTCAGATTGGCCACCTTCTCCGCCAAGTTTGCCTTTAGGTTGGTTTAAAAAAAAAAAAAAAAAAAGCTATTGAAGTTACAACCTCAGGAGCAGCTCCAGCAATTTCTAGATGAACAAAGTCTTTCTCCTTGGACCAAGAGAGCCTTTCTCAGAAATCCTGCCAGTGGTCTTGCTCTTCTAACTCATTGGCCAGAATGGTATCACGTGTTCATTCCTAAAACATGAAATGGCAAAGAGAAGGAAATTGGCATGACTTGTTTAGATCAGTTGCCATAAATCCCCTGGAATTACCAGTTGGGGTGGGACAGCTTTCCTGAAGCCTTTGGTGGCTTAATAATAATAATAATAATAATAATAATAATAATAATAATAATAAAAGAAGGTGATATTGGAATAAAGTGGAGTGGTAGTAAGAAGGGGGATGTGGGTGGGAGCTGGGATAGACTGCTTTAGAGCCAGTCTAAAGTGTCTGCTAATCTTGGCTCTGGGAAAGAGGAAGCGATTCACAAGAGTCAGGGGGGACTTTTCAGAATTGATGGAAATTTTCCCCCAGGTTAGCAAAAGGAAGGTAGAAAGTGATATATTTATCCGTTGGATTACAGGGTTTTAAGAAATTTACATCTCAGCATAATAAAAGCACTCAATATAGATAGATTTTAATGTTGGAAATTCCCACTTAGTACAAAAATAGAATTTCTCTTTAAAAAAAAATTCTTTTCAGTTTATATAATTAACTCGCTTTGTAAATTAGCCACTCTAAGTAACAACAGAAATCCAACATTTAACCTTGGTGTCCAAAGTTCAGAATATTCTCAATGGGGAAAATTAATTAGCTGAAGTCATCTAAATACATTTTGTAATTTGTTTTCCTTTAAATTTGATTTGACATTTAGATTAAACCCAGATTTTGAAAAAAAAAATGTTTTTGATGCTACTTGGCATGTCTTTGTACTACATTATGTATTGCTGCAGAATTTACAAGATCAACATTTAGATGTCACCAGAGAGACATACATCCTTGTACTGTGATAGACATTAGCAGGCACTCTCAAAGTAGCAGCAGCTATTTACATTGAACTTAAAGAGACAACGATGGAAAATGTCAAGAAGCATTACATTTTTGGAAGTTGGAAACACGGGAGAATTGGGCTTTCTGTTTTGAATTTGCATTCAAGTGACCAGAGAGTGTCTTTTTTTTTGTTGTTGTTAGAATGCTTTCTGTATGGGCAGAGCAGAGACCGTAGCTGGTGGCTCAAATCACGCATCACAAGCAAGAGACCACGAGTTCAATGAGGGGTTGACCCTCGGCTTTCTTTTTTCCTTCTATTATTTAGTTTCAAATGATAAGAAAAATATCAGAGGGCATTGCATAGAGTAAGGGAAGAACAGATATATTTCATTTGAACTTAATTTTTTCTATTATGAAACTTTTAAATATCTACAAAAGTAGAAAGAACAGCACAGTTGAAGCGTCCCTAATCTGAAAATCCAGATGACTTTAAAAATCCCGAACTCCTGGGATCCCGACAGGATGCCATAAGTAGAAAATCCCACAATTGTCTTTCTGTGACGGATCACAGTCAAAACACAGGCACATAAAATTACCTTCATGCTATGTGAAGAAGGTATATATGAAACAAAGCAATTTTGTGTTTAGACTTGGGTCCTTTCCCTAAGATATCTCATTATGTATATGTAAATATTCTAAGATAAAATCTAAAATATGAAACAATTTTGATCCTAAGCCTTTCTGTTTTTTTTTTTCTTGGTGGTGCTGGAGATTGAACCCAAGGCCTGTGCATTCGAGGCAAGCACCCTACCAACTGAGCTATATCCCCAATCCCCCATTGACCCTAAGCCTTTCTGATGAGCAATATTCGACCTGTATAATCAGTCCCACACACTGTCACCCAGATACAACAATTGAGTTTTGACCACAATGGTTTGTTCACATTCTGTTTTTTTTTTTAAATAAGCTGCTGTTTCTTTCCTGATATGTTTAAAAGCAAATACTAGATGTCACTTTATTTTATACTTTAGTCTGTGTCTTTTTAAAAAAAAATTTTTTTTAGTTGTAGAGGGACACAATACCTTTATTTAATTTATTTTTATGTGGTGCTGAGGATTGAACCCAGAGCCTCACACATGCTAGGCAAGTGCTCTACCACTGAGCTACAGCCCCAGCCCTAGTGTGTATCTTTTAAAAGGACAGATGTTTTCTTTTGAGGCACTGGGGATTGTACCTAGGGCCTTGAACATGTTAGGCAAGTGCTCTACCACTGAGCCACATCCCCAGCCCTTTTTAGTTTGAGACAGGATCTTACTAAGTTGCTGAGGCTGGCCTTGAACTTGTGCTCTGCCTCAATTTCCCTAGTAGCTGGGATTATAGGAGTGTGCCGCTATATTTGGATAACATTTTCTTATAAATAATCACAATCTAAATATTTGCTATTGAAATCAATAATTACTTGATAGCATATAATAGCCAATTTATATTCCAATTCCTCCATTTCACTCTTTTAAATAAACACTTTTAAGGTTGTTTTATTTGAAACTTTTAAACTTGCTTTATTTATGTGTCTGTACATCTGTTTGTACAGAGCATGGGGTTCATTTCTTTTCTTTAAAAATATTTTTTTAAATTGCTGATGGACCTTTATTTAATTTATTTATTTATATGCAGTGCTGAGAATCAAACCCAGTGTCTCACACATGCTACACAAGTGCTCTACCACTAGGCCATAACCCCAGCCCTGGGGTTCATTTCTTTTTTTTTTTTTTTTTAAGAGAGAGTGAGAGAGGAGAGAGAAAGAGAGAGAGAGAGAGAGAGAGAATTTTTAATGTTTTATTGTTTAGTTCTCGGCGGACACAACATCTTTGTTGGTATGTGGTGCTGAGGATCGAACCAGGGCCGCACGTATGCCAGGCCAGTGCGCTACCACTTGAGCCACATCCCCAGCCCTGGGGTTCATTTCTTAATGGGGCAGTCAAAAAATATTTTGGAAAGTTTTTACTGAAGGTATTGACAATTTTTAGTTTGGAGAGAGAGGAGCAAACTTTGTTTAAAAAAAAAATATATATATATATATTAGTTGTAGTTGGACACAATACCTTTATTTTATTTATTTATTTTTTACATGGTGCTGAGGATTGAACCCAGCGCCTCGCATATGCTAGGCGAGCGCTCTACCGTTGAGCCACAACCCCAGCCCAAACTTTGCTTCTTTTAACAGGCAGTTTCTATAGGCACCAAAAGAATACAGTATATTTAAAACTTCTGCAGTCAATGTGTTAATTCTTCTAAGTTCAAAAATACTTTGACTGCATTGTATTTCCATATCAGAATGTACGTATTTTATGAATACTTGTGACATTCATCCTTAGAGGTTGCTTATTTAATTATTCGTGTATTTATCAAGTAACTAAGACTAGAGAGGATGGTAAGATCAGGTTTACCTCATTCTCAGATAATGAATTTATAGAGCCTTGTCTGCCAAATTTTTTAAATATTTATTTTTTTAGTTAAAGGTAGAGACAATATCTTTATTTTCCATTTATGTTGTTCTGAAGATCCAACCTCATTGTCTCATTCAATGCTAGGCAAGTGCTCTACCACTGAGCCACAACCCCAGCCCCTTGTCTGCCAAATTAAAAAAAAAAAAAAAAAAAATTGTGGGCAAGATGACAAGACCAAGGGTTTCGGACTGTAATCTATTTCTACTCTTTTTCTTCTCTTCAGTTCAACAAATTAAGGAACAGTAAGACAGAGTTTTTCCTAGCAACTCTTTTCCAAAAGGTCCATTGAAATATCAGCATTATACCTGTCCAGCCACAGGGCCTTTCCATATGCCATTCTATGTGTCAAGAAGAATGAATTTCCTTATCTACTGCCACTTACACTTTTTCATTTTTTTTCCTTTGAATTCAATCTCTGTTTCCCTAGCAAAGCCTTCTCTGACTTCCCTAAGTCATTTATCCATTATATGCCTAAACCTCCATGGGTGTTAAAGCTAATTTGTGGCTGGGTGTAGTGTCGAATGCCTGTAATCCCAATGGCTGAGGCAGTAGGATTTCAAGTTCAAAGCCAGCCTCAGTAACTTAGCGAGGCCCTAAGCAACTCGGTGAGACTCTGTCTCTATATGAAATATAAAAAAGAGCTGGGGATGTGGTTCAGTGGTTAAGTGCCCTGGGTTCAATCCCTGGTACCAAAAACAAACAATTTTTGTACCTAATTTGTGTTGCAGATATATATATATATATATTTACATTTATATTTATATTTATTTATTTATTCATTCATTCATTCCAGCAATTCATCCCATATCTCTTTCCCTGCCTAGAGTACAAATCCCATGGAGAGGAGGGCTGCCCTTGCTTATAATTTGAGCCTCAGCATCTAATCCATAGGATTCAAATACTTGATGTACACGTGGGGCCGTTGAGGGACCGGATGCTGTCATTTGTACAGAAGTTAAATATGCAGACTGAAAACATCTTTATGATTAAGCATCATTATGCTTCTTTAGTCTCATTCTTATCCTGAGGTCCTGAAGAAGCAGGATATAGATAATTTATTAGGTTCCATAGTTGGTCTCTGTTGGTTTTTTTTTTTAATGTATAATATGGTTTTAATGAGAGAACTTTAATACGTTGTGAAAGGAGCTTACAGATAATGACTATTTTTCAAGACTGCAAGATCACTCAGTGTTTTAAGAAATACTTAAACTATGTGCAAGGTAAACTGTAGTCATGGAGAACTTCCCCATAACTCCCAAAGTTATGACTTGGTGGGTGAATGCCGTGGAATCGTTGGATACAGTCCATGAGACTTGGCTCAGGCAGTCATTTCCAGTATTTCTGTCACTCTGTGCTTCCATCTTTTTTTTGTACCAGGGATTGAACCCAGGGGTGCTTAACCACTGAGCCACATCTCCAGTTATTTTTATATTTTATTAGAGACAGGGTCTCCCTAAGTTGCTGAAGCTGGATTTGAACTCACCACCCTCCTGCCTCAGCCTCCAAGTCGCTAAGATTTCAGATCCGCATTTGCTTCTATCTTTATGCTCTAGCAAGGCAGTCTTATTTATTCTTCAAATATGCTGAAGCGGGGTGTGGTGGCGCACGCCTGTAATCCCAGTGGCTTGGGAGGCTGGGGCAGGAGGATCTTGAGTTCAAAGCCAGCCTCAGCAATGGCGAGGTGCTAAGCAACACAGACTGTCTCTAAATAAAATTCAGAATATGGCTGGGGATGTGGCCTAGTGGTCAAGTGCCCCTGAGTTCAATCCCCAATGCCCCTCCCCCCATAAAAAAGCTAAACAATTTCATGTTTCTTGCTGTTAACTCTGTTCTGATTATTGACCCTAAATTAATTTTCTTATACTTTATTATTTATTAATAAATATTATTATCATCATTATCATATTGTACTGGGTATTGAACCCAGGGCACTTTACTGCTGAGCTACATTCTCAGTCCTTTTTATTTAGAGAGAGGGTTTTGCTAAATTGCTGAGGCTGGCCTTGATTTGTGACCCTCCTGCCTCAGCCTCCAGAGCTGCTGGGATTACAAGTGTGCACTACTGCGCCTAGCTTCCTTATACTTTACAGAAAATACAAACACTCACAGATTTTTGTGTATTATCATGAAATACTGAAGCGTTATAAAGATGAGGTCTCTTATGATGATCTACCTGCTTCTGTGCCTTTCAACTTATAAATATGCATGACCTTGTAAGATGTAATGGTCATACTGTACAAATGAATTTTAGTGTGTATTTTATTTTATAAATTTTAATTCCAATTTTAAATATATTATACATTTTAAACATGTATTATATATATATGTATATATATATATATATATAATATGCAAATGGTCTTTTTCACTTAAAAGTGTTTTGAAGAGAAGTTTATATTGTCATGGCTTTTAAGTATTCTATGATATTCCATTGTATGACTAGACAATGAGATTTTTTTATCCATTTCTCTCTGGAGGAAATCCAAGTTGTTTCTTATTTTTTAAATATTACAAACCAAGTTTCTGTAACCTTTTATTTTGGTACTGGGTTTTGAACCTGGGATGCTCAACCACTGAGCCACTTCCCCAGCCCTTTTCTTATATTTTATTAAGAGACAGGATCTCACTGAGTTGCTTAGGGTCTCACTAAGTTGCTGAGGCTGGCTTTGAACTCACTATCCTCCTGCCTCAGCCTCCCAAAGTGCTGGGATTACAAGCGTGCTTCACCATGCCTAGCCCTTCTTGTTTTAAACAGGGTTATGTAGTACTTGCTTCTTTTCTAATTTATTGTAAGCACATTTATTGAGCACCTTCCAAATGCCACATATTGATAGAGGCTGATGAGAAGGGTGGTGAGAAGACAGATCTATGCCATCGTGGATGTTTCAGAGGGAGAAGTAGACAGCAGATTAACAAATGGGTACAGAGATGCCATGTCACGCCCTAGGAACATAAGACCTGTAAGATGGTAGAGTTCTAGGGCCTGAAGAAGAGGAATCTTATTTTGGGAAAGGGTCATCAAGGAGGACTGTGCTAAAAGGTGAGGTTTGAGCAGAGATCTGAATGGAGTGAAGGAAGGAAGAGACTTCCCAGTCTACAGATTAGCAGGCACAGAGCACAGAGTCAGACGGGAGCAAAAGACAGTTCATGTGGCTGGAACTCGGAGGTCAAGGGGAAGAGTGGTCAGAAAGAACATTGCAAAAGTAGCCAGGATCTAGACCCTGTGCAACTTCCCAGGCAGTGATGAAGAGTGTCTATTTTCTTTCAAGGGTCATGGGGAGACTTGGGGTTTTGGGGCAAGAGAGTGTCATTTAGATGACTCTGATTGCTTTGTGTTTTAAAGTATGGAAACATAGACGACAGTCAAGTGGGTATTACGGTATCAGGATCATGGTGATGGGGTTGGTGAGGGACAGATATGGGACATTTTTTGAAAGTGGAGCCAATGTGACTTGCTAATGGATTATTTGCCGGAGGGGAACAAGATTTGAGGTTAGTGTCAAGATTTTGACCTCAGTTCTTGGAGGGGTAGTGATGGCATTTTTCAAGGATGGAGAAGACTGTGGGAAGAATGGGTTAGAGGGCTGATTAGGGGTCTGTTTTGGACATGTTAAATCTGACATGTTATTAGATATCTAAGTGCACAACAGACATTCAACTCAAGGGGAAAATCTGGATGATACCATAGAAGGAATAGCTAGAAAAGAGAAGAGGGTTAAACACTGAGCTGTGAGGTACTTGATGATTTGGGAGAAAATATTCAGAGAGAAGGAATAGGAGCTGGTAAGAAGGGAGAGAGCACTTCAAGAACCAGGGAATCATTTGTACTATGTTTTCTTTATCCAATCATCTGTTGAAGGGCATCTAGGTTGGTTCCATAAATTAGATGTTATGAATTGAGCTGCTGTAAACATTGATGTGTAGAAAGGTGATTTTAAATCCTTTGGGTATAAACCAAGGAGTGGGATAACTGGGTCAAATGATGGATTCATTCCAAGTTTTCTGAGGTGTCTTCATACTGTTTCCAGAGTGGTTGCATCAATTTGCGGTCCCACCAGCAATGGATGAGTGAACCTTTTCCCCCACATCTTCCCCAACACTTGATATTTGTATTCTTGATGATTGCCATTCTGACTGGAGTGAGATGAAATCTTGGAGTAGTTTTGATTTGCATTTCTCTGATTGCTAGAGATGATGAATTTTTTTTTCATGTTTGTTGATCGATTGTATATCCTGTTCTGAGAAGTGTCTGTTCAGGTCCTTGGCCCATTTATTGCTCAGCCTTAAAGAAGAATGAAATTATGGCATTCGCAGGCAAATGGATGGAACTAGAGAATATAACACTAAGAGAAATAAGCCAATCCCCCAAAAGAAAAGGCCGATCGTTTTGTCTGATAAGCAGATGCTGGTCCATAGTGGGGCAGGTGGGTAGGGAAGAATGAAGAAAGATCTTTGGTTTGTGTAGAGAGGAGTCTGGGGAGGGATGGGGTTGTGGCAGTGGGAAGGGTGGTAGAAAACACAGACATTATTACCCTCTATACATGTACGATTACACTACCGGAGTGACTCTGAACCATGTTCCTTCAGAGGAATGAGAAGTTCTGCTCCATTTGTGTACTATCTGTCACAATGCATTCTACTGTTTAATGACTCCCTCGTTTTTTTTTTTGTTTTTTTTTTTTAATCACTGAGGGAAAAAATCGGTACATAGGACAGACATTGGTCTTAGTGCAATAGAAGGTATTGATGACCCCCACTTGAACAGTCTCAGTAGAGAAAATTAGAGGTCAGGAGATGGAGTCACTCATTTATAAGGGGTGCAGACAGGGAGATGTTGGTATTGCTTCTCTGCCATGTTGAAGCTAAACGCTCCTGGCTGACTTCTACTCATCTCTTAAAATGCAGCCCAGGTTTCTCTTCATTCCCAGCTTCCTTATCTCCCCAGCCCATTCACTGCCATTTTCCAGATTGGGTTAGAAGCTGTACCTTGGTCTTTCTAGAACATTCTACTTTACCTGTATAGTCTGCTGACTCCTCCCCCACCCCCCCACCCCCATCAGCCAAGAGCCCTGAGGCAGGCAGACTTTATCCTGATGCACAATCCCTAGTCTGTCCTGGGTCTAGGTAACAGGTACTGTGGAATTGGCCCTGAAGAGGGAAGATGTGGTAAAAGGTAGCTTTGTTCTCTTGCTACGCTTCTGTCTTGCCATTTTTTTTTTTAGTTGTAGTTGCATACAATACCTTTGTTTTTATTCATCTATTTTTATGAGGACTGAACCCAGGGACTCTACACACTAGGTAAGCGCTCTACCACTGAGCCACAACCCCAGCCCCCTGTCTTACATTTTTTTGGCTGCTGGGACCAAAGGACCTGACCAGAACAAATGTAGAGGAGGAAAAGTTTATTTGGGGGCTTGAGGTTTCGGAGATCTGGGTCCATAGACAGCAGGCTCCATTCCTCAGGGCTCGAGGGGAGGCAGGACATCATGGAGGAAGAGTGTGGTGGAGGGAAGCAGCTCACATGGTGATCAGGAAGCAGAGAGAGACTCCACTCTCCAGAGACAAATAGAGACCCCAAAGCCATGCCCCCCAATGCCCCCTCCTCCAGCCACACCCACGTCCTCCAGCCACCACCCAGTTAATCCCATCAGGGTTCACTCACTGGTTGGGTTAAGGCTCTCACAACCCAGTCATGTCTCCTCTGAACCTTTCATTGTCTCACACGTAAGCTTCTCCGGGACACCTCACATCCACACCATAACAGCTTCTGAATCTGACAAACAAGTAGGAGAGTAAATAAAGTAGGAGTGATCAGACAAGCAAGGAATCATCATCCCTTTGATGCAAAAAATGGCACCATTTCTTGTAATGCTTATGTTGTTAATAGCAGCAGGCCAGGGCACTTGGAATCCCTGGTATATCTTTTTGTTGTTGTTGTTGTTTTTAATTTAATTTGATAGAAGGTTAATGTAAAGATCTTTACTCAGAGCTTTCCACTAGTTAGGGATGATGTTAATTCCATTTTGGTCTCTCAGCCTGTTAAGTTTAAGAAGTTAAAATATATGATTTGAGAGCAATGTTTGCTTTCAACCTAATTTTAACTGATAATTGCTTTTCTGTGGTTCCTAGAGAGCCTGTGGGTGTGGTAGTGGGAACAGGGGAGACAGGAAGCTAAGAATGCTGAGTGCCCAGGGATCCCTGGTGTGATCCCAATGGTGACTTGATGTCACATTGTTTCCATTTCACCATCTGTAATTTGATGATGTGTGGTATTTATCTACAATGTATGTTTCCTGGGAAAGAAAGATGCTTTGCAATCACGAAAAGATGCTTTGCAATCATGAAAATCACATGCTTTTCAAGGATTATCCAAGTCCTCCAAGGAAAAAAAATAAACCTTTGATTTTGGTATCCAGCTTCTTTTTTATCTTGTGTCATAAGAAAATGAGTGCCAAATTATTTTATCTGGCTTGCCGCCTCACACTGTCTCACTTTTGATAAGTCTTCTCATCAAAAGTACTTTAAGAGTCTGGTCAAAATGCAAAGCCTGGTTTTACCATCCCTCCAAAAAACATTTATTGAACATCTAATACCCTGTAGGCAGGCATTGTGCTTGGATTTGGGATTCTAAAAATGAGCACGCCTCAGAATACAACTCTGAGGACAAAGCAATCCTTGACCTACAAACTTTTCACTTATATATTTTTTGCATTCTGTTGAAAGTGGAGTAAGAAAATATGTTAAATATTTAACTGTAAGTTTCCCCCCAGATTCATCAACTATAGTACTCAGTTAAATATTAAAGTGGATTTAATGAATGCTTATAAAGTTACTGACTCAGAATTGCAAAGGCTGTTAGGCATTGTCTAGTTTTAATGATGTTCAGTAAAATATAAGGTGCGTCACAGTAGTAGTATTGAATTTTCTAGTAGCTACTTTATTAAAAAAAGAAACAGGTGAAATTAATTTTAATGTATTTTGTATTAATCCATGGAAAATATTTCAATGTGTAATTGAAACAAAAATTATTAACCAGCTACATTATTGTGTTTATACTGTCTTAGAAACCCAATATGTATTTTACACTTATAGCAGCATATCTCCTTTAAGAGGCTAAATTTTCACTGGAAATACTCTTATCGATATAGATTTCATAAAATTTACAGTTGAAAAAAGTAGACCCACATACCCAAGTTGTCCCAACCATACTTAAAATAATTGAAATTCGATTTTCTCAGTTGTACTGGCCCCATTTCAAGTGCTCAATAGCCACATATGGTGGTGGCTGCCATATTGGGCAGTGCAGATGTAGACCATTTCCGCTGTTCACAAAAAGTCCTGCTGGATGATGAGGGTCTAATTCAACTCAGTAAGGAAACTGAGTGACGGTGGTAGACCTGGGACTAGAACTTTATAAAGGGTTTCATAGATTAAAAAAAAAAATTACCCAGAACATCAGCCTTTCAAGTGGCAGGCATTCAAATGAATTTGAAAACATGGCGTATAATGCATTAATTAGTCACCCATTGCTTATGATGGGACTTGCTGCTGAGAAAGCTGCCATTAGTCAATTTTGTCATTGTGCAAATTTCAGAGTGTACTTATACAAACCTAGATGGTACAGCCCACTGCACACCTAGGCTTATGGGGTGTGTATGTGTTCTCTCCCTATATGTATGTATATGTGTGTGTGTGTGTGTGTAAATGTATATGTATAATAGTCTATAATATATATTATTTGTAATAATATTATATATCATATATAATATATGTATAATAATATAATATGGATTATAGATTGTTGCTCCTACATCTTTAATGAACAAAACATTGAGATTCATCAAGCCCAAGAGAAGATAATGAACACAGTGAAGAGATATGGTAGGGGCTGGGGTTGTGGCTCAGTGGCAGAGGGCTTGCCTAGCATGTGTGAGGCACTGGATCTGATTCTCAGCACTTCCTATAAATAAATAAAATAAAGGTCCATTGACAACTTAAAAAAAAAAATATATATATATATATACACACACACAAACACACACACATACACACACACACACACAAAAGAGAGACACGGTAAACAGGAGTCCTATTGGCTGCTGCTGGTGATACATGGCATGCTGTTTTACAGTGAACTCTTCTTAAGAAGAAAGAGTACATTCAACTCAGTGGGGAAACTGAGTAACAGTGGTAGACCTGGGACTAGAACTTTATAAGGGGTTTCATAGATATAAAAGAAAAAAAAATATATAGTATAGTAAATACATAAACCAGTAACATAGTTGTTTTTTATCATTATTGAGTATTAAGTACTGTGCAAAATTGTATGGGCTCTACTATTGTATGTCTGACAGCACGGTAGGTTTGTTTACACCACCATCCCACAAACCTGAGTAATGCCTTGTGTGACAGAATCATTAGGTGATGGGAATTATTCAGCTTCATTATAATTTTATAGGACCACCATCATTATGCAATTTGTCACCGATTGGAACTTAGTTGTGCATTGCATGGCTGTGCTTCTTTCTACAAGGAATCAACCTTGCTTGTATGTACTGGGTTGTCAGGGGAAAAAAAAACCAACAAGATTTAAACAAAATAGCTTATACTGTGGGTGTATTCAGGTCATGTTTAGTAAGGGACATTTTTATTACAGTCAACTAAACACATAACACAAAATTTGCCATTTTACCCGTCTTTGAACATATGGTTCAGTGACACTAAGCATGTTCACATTGTGTGTACCCATCCTCTGTGCATCTCCAAGAATTTTTTCATGTTCTCGAATTGAAAAAAAAAAAATCTGTGTTCATTAAATGCTATCTAACTCCCTGTGTTTCTTTCTCCCAGCCCATAGCAACCATCATTTTATTTTCTGCCTCTATGAATTTGATTATTCTAGGAACCTCAAGTGAAAGTGGAATTAAACAATATTTATCTGTGTCTGGTTTATGTCCATAGCATAATGTCTTCAGGGTTCATTCAGGTTACAACTTGTGTCAGAATTTCCTTGCTTTATTTATTTATTTTTTGTTGATACTGGGATCGAACCCAGGAGCACTTAACCACTAAGCCACATCCCCAGCTCCCCACCTCCTTTATATATATATATATATATAAATTTTTTTTTTTTTTTAAATTTAAAAACAGGGTCTTGAAGAGTTGCTTAGGGCCTTGGAAAGTTGCTGAGGCTGACTTTGAACTCTCGATGCTTCTGCCACCAGGCCTGGCAGAATCCTTTCTACAGCTGATTAACATTCCACCAGATAGCCAGCTTTTTAGACTTTTACCCATTGATGGACATTTGAATTACCTTTTGACTCTTCTGAATAATGCTGCTATAAGCATTGCCTACAAATACCGGTTAAAGTAGTGAGGATTTTTGCTTTTCATTCTTTTTTCATAAACCTGTTGATCATGCAACTTCCAAACTAGTAGCCACAAAAGTGTTGCTACATTGGGAAACCCCAACTCCAGATCTTTGAATAGGAAAAAGAACTTTGTTACTGTCATGATATCTGAGAAATGATGAAGTCTGCTTTGTTCTCTTGCATTGAGAGGCTGTGTTAGATATTCATACTGTATTACCCCTTCCTCACCATCTAATACACCACATACTCTTTTTTATGTGTTTATATCTTCAACCCCTCTCTCTGTTGCCTCTGTTGGAATGTTAATTCTGTGAGGATGGGGGTTTGGTTTTGTTTGCTTCTGTATCCTTGGCATTTAGAACCATGTCTGACACAGTAAACAGTCAGTAGGATCTGTTGAATGAATGAATGACTGGAACTCAAATTTTGCCCACCTTTGTGTTGACTGGCTATGATTTTAAGGGCGCTAGATTTGAGTTCCTTTGGCATATTTCAGTATTTCGTTTCCTGGAGTAGAGCATTCTAGTAACCCCCCAAATTATATGTGTTACCTTCTAAATGTCTAAAAGTATGAACAATAAGTGGTATTGGGAGAGAAGATAGAGACGTATACTATAAATCTGTAATCTTCTTTTAATTTGACTGTACTGTCCCTAAAATAGTACTGTGTAAAATATCCAGAAACTTCTACATTGATATCCTAGACTCAAATGAAAAACATTTCAACCTGAACAGTGGAGGTCAAAAGACCAATTATCATAAAAAGAAACGCACTAAATCATCACTTTTCAACATAAGTGCATCTCATGGTTTCCTCTTACTGCAACTAGAAATTGATTTTTCTTTTTCTTCCTGTGGTGAGTCTAGATGCCACTTTCACAGATCTCAGTCTTTGTCTGAGAATTTGGGTTTTTAAAATTGCAAAGACTTTCAAACATTGCTATAAACTTAGGAGGGAGCAAGGAAACCTGACTCTGCCAGGCAAGATAAGGTCCGGAAGCATTCTGAGCCTCTGGCTTTGTTGGAGTCGCCTTTCCTTTTCTTGGATTTTAGCAAGGATGTAATCTCGGTTCCAGTTAGAAAGGGCGATCACAATGCCAGATGTCAAATCCACAAATCAATCCTCTCCTTAATTGCCAAAGCTTGACACGTCCCATGTTGGCCTTAGAAAACTCTAAACGAGCTTTTATTAGCAATGGGGGAATTAAATTTCCTATGTACACAAATTAACTTCTAAATTATAACAGAAACAAACAAAAACACACGTGGGGGTGGGGCGGAGCCCCTGGTTCCAGGATGACGTTTTCTCACAGTAATCTGTCTCCTCTTTTGAGTCGCCTCCCCCTAGACCAAGTTTTCCTCTGCACTCATTACCTGGTTACTACCTTCTCAGAAGGGTAGA